CAAAAATGGAAAATCCTGAACAGGGTTACTAAGGTTCTAAACAGGAACTACAAAAAACACAGTATAATTCTGTGTCACTTCATTTGTGGCCTCAGTGTTCTATTGAAAAGAACAAGAATACTTTTTAAGTAAAAGACAGTCATAGACTTCTATAACCTGAAAAGAATCTAAAAGTTATGCAACAAAACTCATCATTTCACAAACGAAAAAACTATGATGTTTAAACTACTTGCCCAAGATCACATAATCAGTGATGGCAAAATCAAAAAGACCTCCTGGATCACCTGGCTTCCAAGTCAATGGTCCTTTTTGAGAACTAAGCTAACTCTTTTGGAAACTCACTCTTCTTTTCAAAGCATATAGACTGCAAGATGAAACATACTTAAATCCTGCATCAGAAAGTTTTAGAACTCAGTCCTTTTATAGGAATTGTTTTAAATGTGGATATGAACCCTTATAGATACCATTTAATCCAAATGCATCACTGAAATAATCTAAAAAACCTGCCCAGTGTTCTGTGATGACCTAGAGGGGTGGAATGGGGTGGAGGGGTGAGAGAGGGTCAAGAGGAGGGGATACATGTATACTTATGGTTGATTCACATTGTTGCAAGGCAGAAATCAACACAACATTGTAAAGCAATTATCCTCCAATTAAAAATAAAATTTTTTTTAAAAACCTACTGTCTTACATCTCTTTATTCCTACTGATTCCTCTAAAAAGTCACAATTAAAGAGAAACTAGTGAGGAGATTTTGAAATTGGTGGAGAAATTAACATGGTACTTATTTTCTTAATATTAGCAATAGTCAGACTTAACTTATATCTCTATATCCCAATTGTATTTCTATGGCAAATCTCTTCAGGAAGGGACATGAGGAATAGCACAGAGAATGCTTTAACTCTTACAGAGTAAAAAGCATGGTAATTTGGTTTATTTAAGCCTGCTTATTATAATCTTGTTTCATCGTCTGGTTAAAGATCATGTTCTTGAGCCTAAACAACGAAGTGCTATTATATTACTTAAAGTAAGTTCTTTTATTAAGTTGGGTTCACTCCTCACTTTAAAAAAGCATAAAGGTTTATAATTCTAGAAATCTGTACAAATCTTGCCCCTTACTTGAGCTATAATATACATAACTGGCTTTACATAGATGAAATTAAGCAATCATGAGAAATACACACACACTGACACAAACACATGTGAAACTGGGAAAATCTAACAAAGAGAAGTGTATTTTATCAGTATCCTGGTTGTGATATCGTGCTCTAGTTTTACAAAATGTCACCATTGGGAGGACCTGGGTAAAGAGTACCTGGGCTGTCTCTGTATTACTTTTTAAAACTGCATGTGAATCAACAGATACCTCAACAAAAATTTCAATTAAATAAGTAAACCCTGAAGCCCCAATAAATGTAAGTTACTTTCAGATGATTCAGGGAAAAAAGAGTATGTGTGTGCGTGTGTGTCTACAGACAGTGGAAAGGAGAAGATAAGTAAACTGATAAAACAAATGGGGAAGATATTTACAATAAGTGATTCTGTGTCAAGAGTATACAGCTGTTCTTCATGTTATTTTTGCAACTTCTCTGGAGGTTTAAAATTATTTCTAAATAGAGGTAAATACATATATACACTTTTACAGTGAAGAGTATCAGTGTTTATCTAATGATCCTCTCATCACTACTGGGTATTATTGCTTTAATCATTGCCAGTTTGATAGAAAACAGAATGTCTCATTTGGACTTCCTTTATTTGGATTGGCATATTGAACGATTTGTATAGCTAATTTTCCATTATAAACATTTTCTTTCCTAGTGATTTTTTTTAACCAATTCTATACTAAATATGTTAAGCCTTGGTTATATTTGTTGTAAATGTTTTCAATACAGCAATATTGAAGTTTTCCTTAAGGCATTCCAAGTAATTCCATCCTGAGTAATGTTAATAAAGGAGAGTAAGATGACACTCAGGTAGTGCACTCAAGTTTACTGGCATTTTTAGTTACGACTGAAATGGCCTTTAAATGTCTATAGCCCCAGTCACTTGCTGTGCTTCTTCATGTCGTCCAATGCAGATAATGTTTTAATGTCATCCAATTAAAAACGAAGTGGAAAGATGCAATTTTGCCCAAGCATGCCACACACACTGAACAAAGTCTTTTTCTATTTAGTCTAAAGTCTAAATGGTCTCTAGAAACTTTTGATCATCCCATCAGAAATGTAAACCCTTATAAGACATGGGCAGTCAGAAAAATGGTCAGGTTTAAGGAAGTAGCTGTCAGTTTATTTTTAATATGTAAACTGATTCTCTTTCAGATCATTATTTCCAGAAATCAGAGTGACGTGTCCACTTGGGCAGTAAAACTACAAGCTTCTAATATTTCCCATAAGCCAAGAGACAATAGCCTCATTCACCATTCACACTGGAAAAGCACAATGTCATGTAACTTATATAAGCCATAAATGGAACAGTGGCTTCATGCAGCTTGAGACCAACTAATGCAAGTCTTGCTAAATCTACTAAAATTTAAAATTATGCAGTCACTACAACTCCAAAGTATATTTTAAAGTCTCTAATTCCAGAACTTCAATGTACTAATATATAAACACTCATTATCAACAGGAGTAGGCATAAAACATATTCAAACAATTTGTGTATTTGAATCTATCAAAATTAAAAATTTAAATGATAATATACATTTTCAATGAGATAGTAGGAATATTTACCTTGGAAAGGTTGGTATTACTTCCATATATCCTAACATACTGATATCTAAAAAGAATCAGATAATCTTAAAACCATTCCATATGAATTATAAACAGAAAAAAAAGAAAAAGTTGCAATCTGACAAGAAATGGAAAAACATTCTGTCAAAATAGCTCAACAAAGAAACTTCAATCAGAGTAATAATTTTGTGATCCATGCTTTTACTGGATAATGACATTAAGATTTTTAAAATCATATCGAATTCAAATAGACTATATAATTTCATAATCAGGAAATTTTAACATTACTTGATCAGTTTCACATCTTTTAAAACCTGGTATTTATATTTTTTTTTCATGTATAATGTAGTTTTTTTCCCCATAAGGTCCAAATCACCTAGGAAAGCATATAGAAAGCCAGACAAACATCTGCAATCAAAACTCTTACTTATACATTTTCAGGAAAACCTGAAGCTTAAAACAAACTCACATTCATTCAAAATGTGTTGCCTGTATATAAGAATAAGTCTTATATGAAGCTGTTGGCCACATCCCAAAATAAATTCTTCCAGGTTATACCTTGCTGATCCCACTGGGTAAATGAAACTTTCAAACACACAGGTGTGGAATGACTTCACATGCAGTTTAATAAAAATAAGTAGTTCCTTTCTAATTATACCGCTCACTACCAAGAACAGACCTGCCAAGGGCTAGGCTTCTGGACACTAACCCTTTTTCCTATTTTGAAAATGTGTGCTGGAGGGAGCAAGGCAGAAGGTCCAGGGAATGGAAAAAGACAGGCCTGAGGGGCAGGTTTTTTCCCAGGTATTAAATTGAAAGAGGAAACTTAAATGGAAATAAGTAAGGCTCCAAAAGTTGGGGGGAGGAGGGTGTATATCAATTTCTAGAAACTCTTGTGTATTAGTCAGTGGAAGGGAGTTAAAGGTCTGTCCAGAGGTCTGCCCAAGATTAAACAAAACACCAGAGGGAAAATTATATGTTACAAGAAAAAGTAACTTCTGAGTTGGCCACAAAAATAAGCTGGGTCCTTTCGAGAACAAGCTTCCTTTTTCCATTTTGGAAGGCTAAGCCAAGCGGTGCTGGGGGCCCTTCAGCGGGGTCACCCTGAGGCACCTCGCCACTTGGAGGAGAAGTCCATAGACACAAAACCCATCAGGTTTCTCTAAGCGTCTCACCGCCCTACACCCCCACTCCTACTTCTAAACAAGCCCCTTCAGAGATCCTATCACGTAAAATGACATCTTCTTTAATGACTTTTTAATCTGCAAAGTACACCAAGAACCTTTTCTGCGCGCTTTAAAAAAAAAAAATCATTCAAACAACCCTAAGATCCAAGAATAACTTCTACAGTCAAGGGTGACAATGTGTAAAGTCAACATTCTCTCGGCATACTAGTACCTTCCAAGCCCCCAGGTGCTGATCCAGGAGAGCGCCTTCTTGGCAGGGCCCGGGCCCTGGATGGAGCGACCGCGCTTGGGACTTCTTGTTGCATTTGAATCGAAAACGTTTTCCCCATTCTTGAAGCCCTGCCCTTTTTATTAGGCTTTACGCCGCCCAAACGTGAGGTTTACCTCTGGCTGGGGGAAAAAAAAAAAAAAAAGCCAGCCGCACACACTTGTCACAGCTCCGCCCGGCAAAACAGCGGCTCACTCCTCATTGCCTCGAGGGGCGAAGTGAAGACAAACCGGTTTATTCTGTCGGTGCGGCTTAAGCCTTTACAAAGCGGTGGGGTCGGGCACGGGGAGTTAGGGGGCGGGCAGGGGGAGGGGGGGCACAGGTAAAGGTGTGCAGGAATTCGGAGCCGAACGGGTGGGGTGTACTTACATGTTGGCATCACTGCGCTGGGGTCCCCAGGGGCCGCGCGGTCATGCTCCGCAACCTTCACCAGGCTCCGCGGCTCCAAGTTCCCCCGATGAAGCCCCCAGCCAGGCCGAGCGCGGTGGCCGGACCCGCCCTCACGCTCCTTCTGGAGAGTTCATCGGGGCTTTCCGGGCAGCTCCGGGGTGGCGCGAGGTGGAAGGTCGGCGCCGCGGAGTTCAAGTGCGAATCGCCGCGGCCAGGGGGCGGGCGGGGCGGCAGGTTCCTCCTTGCGGAGAAGTTGGAGGAAAGTTAGGGCGAGAACGTGGAAGCGACTGGGTCCGCCTGGGAGCCGGTGCTGGGGGCTCCGGGGGCCCTGGGGGCTCCCGGGATGGCTGGGTGGGCGGGTAGGTGGAGGGGTCCGCTGGCGCGCGGCAGCACGTGGTCACCCGCTTGGGGGCTCCGTCTCCCCCTCTACGCCGCCCCGTGGGCTCGGGTTGTTCCCGGGACCGGTCCACCCCGCCCGCGCTTCCGGCGCGGAGTGTGCCGGACCAGGGGCTCAGGTGCGGCTGCCCCCGCGGCGTCTGGCCGGGCCCCGCGCGGCCCTGGGGCGGCCCCAGCCTCGCTGATCCGCCGCGGGGGCCGTCCCGGAGGCGCGGCCGCCCCACCCAGGATCCCAGCCCCGGGGCTGGAGGGAAGAGTCTGGCTGCGGGGTGGGAGAGGCACTCCCCAAGCGGGCAGCGAGGGGCAAGGTGCGGGGGCCGGCGTGGGTGGGAGACTGGCTCCCGGCCCGGCCCGGCTGCCCGGCGGGGGAGCGGGCGGGGCAGACACAGAGGTCTCCCGAAGCAGGGCGCCCTGAATCCAGAAGACCCGAGCCGCTCGGAAGGCCCGCGGGGATGGGGGCATCTCCTCCCTGTCCCCCAGTGGTGCAGCCCAACCGAGACTGCGCGGAACCTCGCCGCCAAGTTCCCGCGCCATTGTCTTGCTTTCTCCTTTTTCCTTTCTTGCTTTTCAGTCCCTTTCTTTGCTCTTCTCTTTGCTTTTCTTTCATCTCTTCCCCCCACCCCTCGCTTTCGTTCTTCTCCATCTGATTATCAGGGTGAAGGGTGAGCCGTCTGTCCTCAGCGCGCACCCAGCCACTCCATACCATCACCACATCTCTTGGCTCCTGCTGTGAGAGAGGGGGTGAGGCCCTCAGCGCGCCCTTCTCCACCCAAGGCTGAAGACCCGCCTGAGGAACCTGCGGCAGTCGCCCTGTTCCTATGCCCAGCGCAGAAATACACCACTACCCTCTCCCACTGATTTGTTGACACCTGTAATTCCATCCATTTGGCTCAGAATTTTGTCTTCTGTTGAAATGTATCTAAGTACTCCTAAGGAGTGGTAACACTGTAAAGCTTTGACATTGCCGTTGGTTTGGATTGTTCAGATCCCTTCTGGAAAGAAGCTGATAGGCCGTGGAAACAGCCTGAGAGATCTGAGAGTGGTTGCAGAAGGGGTTAAGTGAAAGCGGAAACTGGGCAGGACAAGTGACAAGCTGTTTGCTCCACAATCTGGCCTGGGACCCTCCTTCTTCAGCCCCCTCTAGCTGCTTCATTGGGACTCAGGGATAGGGCTGGACAAGTCATCCTTTCTTTTAAAATCTGCACACAACAACAGCAACAAAAAAGGGATATTAACATGGGACTGACTAGATGTTCACCTAATATTCAGCAGGATTGATTTGCAAATGCAAATCCAGTTACTCTGGGGAAAGTTCACTCCCTGGCCTCTTATAAAGTAGCTGCCTGGCAAAGGGATCTGGACACACCCCCTTGGAAATGAGAAGAGGAAAAAAAGGACTCACACTTGCAAACATGTTCCCTCACCCTTGGGTACCACCAGTTAATCCATGAAAGTACAGGAGGCAAAACCAAATGCCAGTGCCGTATACGCATCCAGAGCCCAGCATGAACTGCGAGCATGCACACACAGGCTGCAAGCAAGCAGAAGTGCCAAAAACTGCACATGACATTGATTGGCTAGTGATACAGACTAGCAGGGGTGGAACAGAAGAGGTAGAACAGGACCTGAACACAGACAGCTACCTGCACAAAGGATGCTGGAACACTGCCACCAAATCTGGAGGCCTGAAAATCCAGGGTGTGTCCTTCTTGTGACTTTCATCAGTATTTATTTTGATGAATAAACCATATGACTAATAGAGACATTGAATTGTAGCACTTAAAGGAGACTAAAATTCTAGTGTCCAGTCCTCTCATATTACAGATAGGAAAATGAGACCCGGAGATGTGACACCTGCATAAACTAGCTGGCAGTGGCCAGGAACTAGGACCCAGGTCTCCAGACTGAAGTGACCAGGGGCTAGGACCCAGGTCTTGAAATTCAAATCAGCCTCTATTATGCAAGACTGTTCCAAAGGAATTTAAGTTCCACTCATAGAATATTATTAAGGCAAACATATTTATTATTTCACAATCCTCAAGTAGGGAATCTGAGGAGAGCTAGGTATGATGTCTCTCGTGAGACTGCAACAAAGGTGTTGGCTAAGGCTTTGATGTTATCTGAAGGCTCAACTGGGGAGGAATCTGCCTCCAAGTTCATATAGGTAGTTGTTCTACTCGTCGAATTCTAAAGCTAAAAGGAACCAGGAAACACATGGGCAAAGAAGTAAATATAAATACCAAATTTATCAGAATTCTCCAGAGAAATGGGATGTATATATGTATATAGAGAGGTTTAAGAAATTGACTTAACATGATTATGAGGTAGAAGTCCAAAATCCGCAGGGTAGGCCAGCAGGCTGGAGACTCAGGAAAGAGTTGCAGTCAAGTTCAAAGGCAGTCTGCTGATAGAATTCCCTCTTGCAGAAGGTCAGTGTTTTTCTATTCAGGCCCTCAGGTGATTGGATGAGGCTCACACGTATTGTGGATGGGAGGCCCACCCGCAATGTTCTTTACTAAAAACCCAGTGATTTCAGTGTTAATGTTATCTAAAAACCACCTCTGTCACCTTCTGTCTCTGTCACCTTCACAGAGACATCCAGAATAATATTTGACCAAATGTCTGAACACTAAGGTCTAGCCAAGTGGACAGATAAAATTAGCCATTACAGGAACAGAAACAAATGTACCTGTTTCTTGAAGATAGGAGTAGCGTATTTAATGTGCTGTTATATGTAAAATGTTCATAAACATATGTACTAATAGTAAGTCAAAGTGTTAGTCTTTCAGTCTTGTCTCACTCTATGGGGCCCCATGCACTATAACCCACCAGTCTCCTCTATTGATGGAATTCTCCAGGCAAGAATACTGGAGTGGGTTGCCATTCCCTTCTCCAGGGGATCTTCCCTACCTAGGGATCAAACCCAGGTCTCACGCATTGCAGTTGGATTCTTTATGTCTGAGCCAGCAGGGAAGCTAATATTTCTGCACAATTACATGAATCACAGGTAAACTGTTTCAAAAAGCCAGTGCTTGTCATCGGTCAGTACATTGGTAAAATCTGTGTATTTTGATACTTTAATCCTCAAACTAAGGATTTTTTCATTCCTTTGAAAGGGAAATGAAGTGTGCAGAGGTGAGTACATAATCTTATAATGCAATAACCTCGGTTTAAAACTCGGTCCTTTAATTTACCAGCATTATAAACTCTGGCAGTTTACTATGTAAACTGTGCTATGCTGATTATACTTACAATTTTTAACTCCTCAGCACACTCAGTGAGCTAAAGGTACAGAGCATCCAGCATATTTCCTGGAATTCGGTAATATTGGTTGACTCCGCCTGCCCCATATATCATCCTAAAATGGAAAGTGCCAGGCCACATTCCTCTGCAAACAGGAATCCTCTGACAGCATTCCAGACAAAAATGAATATTGAACATCTGTTTGAATCCTTAGCATTGATGAACACTCAACTATGAGAAACTTCCTCTTTCTGTTGATTGAATCAAACATTCATGCCATCAACTTCTATTCAGAACAAGGACATGCTATCTTCCACAAAAAGCCTTTTAAATCTCTGAAGACAGCTATCATCTCTCCCCTCAGCCGCCCCTTGTTCAGCCCTAGTTTTTTTAACCATTCAGTGCCTGACTCCTCACTACCCATGTGAATCACTCTTCCCTACAGACATATAAGTCATTATCAGCCCACGTGAACAATGTTCTCAGAGTGGATTCCACACTTCATCCCTGATGAGAGTGAGATCCTTACCTTTCCTCAACCAGACTCTTGCGTAAATAAAAGTTAGTTTTGACCATTTGAACAGCCACATAAAATATTTAGAGTTGGGATAAGAGTTGTCTTTCTTGTATTGATCTTCCACTATGTGCCAAGGAGTATATAAATTTTATTCTAACAAAGTTGTTCAAGATATTATCTTAGTCTGTAAATAATTCAACCCAATTTTTGTTTTAACACCTTCTTCTGCCTTACTATTTTGATTCCTCTGCTTTCACTAGGCTTGTTACTTTCTTCGGCAGGGGGAATAGAAGTAGTCCTTGACATCTGTTTTTTTGGCTGAGACCCGCAGCTTGCGGGATCTTAGTTCCCTGAGCAGGGATAGAACTTGGCCCTCTCAGAGTGGAAGCGCAGAGTTCTAAGCACTGGAAGTGGCTGTTGATTTATGTGTGGTAGCAGGCACAGATGTGTGGGTGTTAGTTTACACAGGCTGTCGGTGAGGGTCCCTCAGGTTCAGGCTCTTTGTGGGTTCCCTGATGAGCTGTCATGTCCATCAGCGTTGTCCCTGCAAGGAGCCCTTCTCTGGGGCCGCGGCTCCTCTCTGGTCTCTAACTGGAAGGCACTTCAGGAAACCACTCCACTCTCTGCTCTCAGTACCTCCCACCACCTCTCTTCCTTCGCTTCCATCCTGAGAAAAGGACGATAGCTTCTCTTTCTCTGCCGCGTCTCAACATTTTGCCTGTATCTCAGCTCCTCTCTGTTCTCTTGGTGCTTAATGTCATGAAAAACATGAGAATTCCTTGGTGGTCCAGTGCTTAGGACTCTGCACTTTCACTGCCAAGGGTGTGGGCTCGATTCCTTGGTCAGGAACTGGCACCCCACAGCCCCTGTGGCCGAAAGAAAAGTTATGAAAAACCAGTGCAGGCATCCTGAATCCCCTGTATTTTCTCTTCTGCTCCATCATTTTCAGAAGCTATGCTTATCCACTAGCTAGAAACTTGAATAGGAAGCAAGAGAAGAGGCAATAAACAGAAGAAAAAAGGAAGACAGTTAATCTCACAAAAATATCATGCCTCCCTCAATTCATTATGCTTACAAGTGCTTGTTATTCCTAGTTAAAGACAGGAAATTAAAGTTCAAGATGATTGAGTAAGTTACCGGAGATCACACGAGGAAGGAGAGGCTGAGCAAACACCCAAGGATTGAGTGACTGCTTTGCCCTCATGGCTCCTTTTCATTGTTGGCCTGAGTCTTTTCACAGGAGCTGTCACCAAGTCAGAAAGCCCATCCTGCCTAAATCACTGATCTGAATCCATGACCAGTTTGCTGAGTACATCTTATCCTGTTGCATTCAGTCCAGTGTATCAGTTTGAAGAAATCAGTTTGAAATTTGATTCCTTCGCTAATCTTAACAATCTTTTCCAAGCTCTTGCTACATGCAAAGTTAATCATTTTGTTTCCTGTATTTGGAATATACATGATGAAGTTGACCCATGCAAAGCCTCTATGGAATTCCATGACGGATCTGATTCCTGGTGATACTGATCTACTGATAATCAACATTGGAAGGCACACATTTTGAACCAGTTATTAATCCATGTTGCCTTAGTATCCCACACACTTTCTTCAACAGGAGCTCCCAATTTATCACAAAAGAGTAAATGCATCAGTAAATACATATAGCTTTTGTTTTCTCTTGACCTATTAGTCTAGACTGTCTAGT